AATAGATACAACTTTTAAAATATGGTCTCGTCATAGCAAACTCACGATAGAGCGAACTTTCTTTGTCTTTAATGGAGACTTTGGAAATTTTGCAATGAATCATAATGACCAATTATGGAACTCTAAATAAAAAAGAAAAGAAAACGGTAAAAATATATACAATACAATATCTTCAACGAAACGGCATAAAGAACGAATTCAAGCGCTGAAAAATAATTATGATAAAAGCGAAAAAGAATAGAATTGTGCGCAATATTCCACGTCGGGAGATTTATTCTGGGATATCCTGCAACATTATGAGCAAGTTCTCACTATATTTCATAATCGTGCTAAATCGTCCAAAAGTTTTCAAATATTCTGTGAGCTTCTGAGGTATTTGGATATACAAACTGATCGCACACCACAGTAGGGGTGTGATCGATCTGTAGAAGAACTGATATTTGGGAGGGGCAAAGTGAGATTTTCTTGCAATGTGGAGGAATATCCTAAACCAACTGTATTGTTCTGCTCTTTTTAACTTTCCAGCATAATTATTTTCTACAGTACGCATGTGTTCTCTGTCCAAATAATAATATGTGTAGTAAGTTTTCGAAAATGTAAACTTTTTGCGATTTTCACAAATCATAAAGTCAGAATTATGTTCAATTGTTTATGAATTCTAAATACTTATTTTTAGAACTGAGCAAAAAGAAGCACTGCTATGACAAGATAAAATTTGATTTAAAATAAAGCTGTGTTAGATAATATAATGAATTATGTACCTTTTTCAGAAATAGACCAGTAGAGAATAAACTAATTATAAAGAATTTGAGGAAACAGCATACTTTAGCTACGAAAGCGCGAGTTGATTGCGGGACACACACGAGTTTTGCCTCATGACTGACGAGGGAAGGACCCCAAGTGTTACTCTCGCTTTTCAATGAGACACATCCTAATTTGTAGAGCTCAACGAGCTGATTACGATGGCATAAAGCATTTTCCCCCTTTACTCTTGAAAACCCAGGTTTCTAGAAAACTAGTTTTTCAAGAACTCTAAAAGAGAACCAAAATCTTTTCTTAATGAGGCATGATTGTGGTCTGCGAATTTCTGATTAAAATGAGACATCTCCCAGATCTTTCTTTGCAAAGTTATAGAATTTACAAGAAAAGCCCTAAAGTATTTTTTCTTATTTGTGTAGCTTTGAGCTGACAGTGAACATTTAGGGCTTTTCTTGTAAATTCTATAACTTTGCAAAGAAAAGTCATGTAGAGCTGGGAGATGTTTCATATTAATCAGAAATGTGCGGGCTACAATCATGTCTCATTAAGAAAGGTATTTTTTAGACTTTCCGAAAAACTGGTTTTCCCGAAAACCGGAACTTCAAAGGCAATGGAGGGAAATACTTTATGCCATAGTAATCAGCTCATCGAGCTCTACCAATCAGGATATGTCCCATTGAAAAGCGAGAGTAACATTTGGGGACCTTCCCTTGTGAGAATATTCCTCTTTTTTAAAAACATTATTAGTAGTTTTACAATTGCATTGAGTCGTATATTTCATCTCTTTTTAGACATAAATGATATGTTGATTATTTTCTTTTTGATTTATTGTTTAAAACAATTTTGGTCTGTATTTGTCTCTTTGTTTAATTGTCATCTCAGTATTGATATGCCACCTGTGCTAGATAATATTCAACAATCATTTAATCGTAAATATACATTCTCTCCACCTGATCAATGGTTAAAATTATGTTTGGATTGGTTAAAATCGGAATATCAGTTTGCAACATTAACAAATGATTATTGTCTTGAACGAATTTATGAACAATGGTTACATAGTGATTTAAATTTGATACAAGGAATGAAATCGTTACCGGATACATGTTTACAAGATGATCAAAAGATACTATTATCAGGAAAATACCCATTACAAGTAGAAACAAAATTTCTTCTTTACGTCTTTCTAAGTGTTAGTATACCTATTTATTTTAGATAAACAAAGTTCTATGTATATCGGATTCTTATTATACACAATTATTAGATATTCAAGGTAAAGATCAAGAAAATGCTAGAGTTAATGCTGATGCTGTTGGAGATACACAATGGAAGGTAAGAATCGTTGAAATTTTATTGTTCTCGTCGTCAGTTTACTATTTTCTATATTTACGTTTAGCCACCTCCAGCAAAACGTATGCTTTGGTTTGAATTAACAGACGGTGTAATTAGAATAAATGGAATGGAATATGAAACCATTCAAAACTTGGATCGAAATATAAAACCAGGAACAAAGGTAAATTGAGATTTCAATGTTTTAAGTGCCTGTCTTGAATATATGATTCTAGATTCTCGTTTCTGGTCCGGTCACATGTCGTCGTGGTGGTATATTTTTAACAAATAAAAATACAAAAATACTCGGTGGTTATGTCGAACAGTTATTAATTACGAATTCAAATACACAATCATCTCTAGATCGTCTGTAAGTAGTGAATGATCTTTCCTTTTCGAGATGATTTACTATTTTTTTTTCACGCAGCTCCGTAATATGTAGTCGACATCGAGAAAGTCAAGAACGGTTTGATCGATTAGTGATGTTATTTCAACCAACTACAGCTAACAATAACAATGTGTCTACTAATGTTACATCAACGAGTAAATATTTTTAAATATCCTAAAACAGGCAATATACTCAACAAATACTTTATTCTTTAAGCCTTACCGATAACTACATCATCTTTCATAACAACGCAAACACAAAACCAACTATCAACGTCATCCACAAGAACTGTCTCACAAATACAGCCCGTGTCATCATCTACGAGGTCAATCGTTCAAACAACTAATCATAATGTAAGTATCTAGGTGTTATCAGTCGAAGGCTTTTGTTTGACTTTATCTAATCTTATTCAAAAATTCTGTTCTATTTCTCTCGACAATCTCAGGCATCAACAAATATGTTTTTCTACAGGTTACCAGCAAAATTTTCTCACTAAAAATACAACACCTAACTCACATCTTCCGTAAAATATTGTTAAATGTTTTATTTGTGTTTCATGTTTTTGTGTTTGTTCTAGCCATCTTCATTTGACGATGATGATATTGATGACGATGTATTATTAGCTATTGCTAATAGTACAGATTTTTCATCTTCAGGACAGAATCACACAACATCAACCATACCTTATACATTAGAGACGAATAGAACAACTACAATGGTCCACACAGCTACAGCAGTATCATCTCTGAATAATCATTCATTTGAAATGCCAGATGCAAGACAAACAACTGTAACAGTGCCATCTCAAGTATTGAATGAAGAAATGTATATGGATTACAGTAGTTTTCTTGATAATGATGATGATTTTTTTCCACAACAACAGCGACAAATAGTGACAGAAGCCAAAGTTGCTAATATCATTGAAATAACTGAAGATGATTCGAATGAGCAAATAGCACCAAAAAGGCGGCGGCGTATAGTGTCTGACGAAGCTTGTTCACCTCCATCACTTCAAACAACAACGACAAACTCTATAAGTGAGTATAGTGCTAAAGAGGAAGATTGCATAAAAATTCTATTTTGTCATCTTGTATAGAACTATACTAAACAAAAATGCAATGTATTCACTTCTCTAACTTTAACATACAATTTTAACATCTCTTAGGTATTCGAACAACTACAACAATAAAACCAGCCTACAAATATCCTTATACTTATTTATCTCTAATTGAAAAAGAATTACGTTCATCTATTACAGTAGAAATGGATTATCAAGTCAAAGCTTATGTTTCAACATTGTTAGATAATCCAACAATTAAAAATGGTGACTGGTTTTTTAAAGCGTGTATAAATGACGGTAGTCAATGTCAAATTGTTCAATTACATCCGAATATTATTAATGAAAAATTAGGTTTAAATGGTAGAGAATTTACATTAAAACGAAAAGAATTAAAAACAAAACCACAGCAAGAAAATGAATTTAAACTTATTTACAATCAAAAATTAAAAGATTTTACTAAATGGCTATCAAATTGTTATGCTATTCTAACATTGAGATTTCAGCAAGGAAATGATGAACAAACACCTATTGTGATGAAAATTGATTCTATCTAAATGTTTTACTACTTTTCAAACGAAAAGCAGTTAGTCTTTGTTGTTCATCTTTTGTTGAAATATATCCCACATAAAGTGATAAAAAAAATTTTTGTCTTGCAATAAATGCGTCCGATACCTTCTTTTTGTTTTGTGCTGTTAGTCCATGTCAGATCTCTAGTCATTGTATCAGATATTTATGTACATTTTCACTTCTTAGAAAACTTTTTTTCTCTCGATATCATGCCCATCCATTATTTTTTTTGTTGTTGTTGTTGTTATTATTAGTGCACTAACGAATATATATATTTTGTTTCTTTACTTCTTTTCTATGCATATTTTCGAATTAAATATTGAACTGAATTTCGTTGTATCTTGATGTAGAACATTTATCAGAATGATTCTGAAATTACCATTAGAATAAACAATCCTCTTTATTAATCTTTGATTAACAAGTGTAGAACATCAAAGGTAGCTTCTCATTTTCTTTGTAGTGATTATTTTAAGTTGACAAAAATTATTCTTATATTGTTATCAGAAGAAAATTAACGACAAAAAAATGTTTTATTAAGCATATTATATTTTCTGTTTATTTTATTGACTTTGTTAATTTCACCTATCTTTCTTTTTACTCAGATTTTTTTCATCACTGAGCATGATTAATCGACATGTTTCGAATCTAACTGTGATCTAATATATAACAAGTTTATCTGTATTAATAATTAATTTATGAAGTGAACTAAATCGATTTATTAACAAAATTCAAACTGTCGACAGAACCATTGATTGAATATTATTCAACAACACCGCCTGCTGATTTGTGGTATCCACTGTTTAAATCTACTTCGAATTTTTCGTGTACTGCAACAAAATCAAAACAGCAAAGTGTTGTCAACAAGTAAGACGAAAATCACACTTATATTGTCTTTTTTGATATTAGACAAAAAATTAGAAGTTAAGATTAATAGAATTCAAGATAGTAGACTTTTATCGTTGTATTATGTAATATAACATTTCTCTAGTGCAAGTTCAGATCAATTTAGATTGTCTTTTGGCATGATTTCAACGTTGATAAACGATATTCTCAGGATTTGTTTACTGTTCAAGTATTCATACAAACTTGATTTTGTATTTCTCGATAGTTGAAGTTTTGATATACCAGATTACGATTTATCCTACTTATATGATATTTTTGGTATATAATTAGTCTAAACTCTTTTCTTTTCTTTTAGTGAATGTGATGAAGACAATTGTTATTCGCATTTATTTTCGTATTTATCCTCGTCATTATCGTTGATCAACAACGACTCACACAGTAATACCGTTCAACGTCGTAGAAAATCAAAGCGTCAACATTTACCCATTGTTCATTCCATTTCTCATCCATCTTTTTTTTCAAATCGTATGCAAATACCACAACAACAAACTTCATCAAAACAAATAATAATTAATTTATCTTCTTCTTCGACATCATCATTATTTGACTTCGATTTTCCAGTACAATTTCGATTTTTGAAATCCGGTGATCAAGATGAAGTCAAATTGTTATGTCGTGATTGGTTTCCTATTGAATATCCAGATAAATGGTACGATGATATATCAAATGAAGGAAAATATTATGCTTTAGCAGCATGTGTTTATAATCGCATTATTGGACTTATTGTAGCTGATAATTTACAATTGGTACATTGTAATAAAGAGGATAAAAATATTTTAAATGAATCTTTTTCATTAGCCACACAGGTACATTAGCATTGTTAAATGAAACATAAAATCGAAAGATATAATTCTTATTTTATTTTATGTTTTAGGTGTGTTATATACTGATATTGGGCGTTGTCAAAGAATATCGTCGTCATGGTTTAGCTAGTCATTTGTTATCACATTTATTACGTTATTTACATTCAAAATCGACCTGTAAAGCAGTGTATTTACATGTTTTGTGCACAAATAAATCAGCAATTAAATTTTATGAATCAAAACAATTTCAATATCGCCTCTATTTGCCTTATTACTATTCTATAAAAGGTCAATTGTATGATGGTTACTGTTATGTATTGTATATTAATGGTGGTCAACCACCTTATTCGACTCTCGATTATATAAATACTCTATGGAAATATCTACTAAAAATTAATCCATGTAAATTTTTATATTCGATTAAATATTGGTGTGAAAATCGCCTCAATTATGATATTAATAATAACAGTAATGATACAAGAGCAATTATTGGTTACAAATCAATATCTAGAGTTATTTGATTGAATTAGATCTTCGTCCGTCCATCTCCATCAGACAATAACTGGTAGTTAGTCCTGAAATGTCTTGTACTTTCTTTGATATTAGGATTTGAATATGATCCTAGAAAATGACCAGTAACCTTTTTCTTTGATAAGTATAATTTAGTGATTATCGACTATATATGGTTTGTATTTGACCCGGTTTAATTCATATTTGTAAATAATAGATTACCAACTCTCATAGATAAATCAGTTTGATGAGATTTTCCTTATATCGATTTTTCGTTATATTACTCTTTCCTTATTTTTCATTTGATAGTGGATGAACTTTTCTCCGATGAATGTAATGATATCGATAATTTTTCGAACAAAAATCACTCAGTAATGGATATGGTGCTATAGAACAAAGCTGTCTCTCTTCCTCTTTTCCTGTCTCTCTCTCTCTCTCTCTCGTTGTATTCATGAATTCTGTTCAATTCGAGTTGTTCTACGGCTTTGAAGACAGTTATTCGTTGTATTTTTTACAAGGTAAGGTCTCCAATTGTAGGATCGATTTTGATCCCATCTTTTGGCTACATGAAGAACTCGATGAGACTAGAAAAAGCTAAAAATATTTTGTGCAAACCGTCCCGCCTTGTCGAGATATCGACTTTTTACTCTCTCCATAACAAAAACTAATGTTTTATCGATTCTTTTTCTTTTTCACTCTCTGTAATGCATTGAGCAACGAAACCTTTTTACAATTAGACCTGAGTGTTGGGTAGCTGTTGCAAGAGTTTCAATTCAACATTAGCTTTTGTTACATAGAGCGTAAAAAGTCGATATCTCGACAAGGAAGGACGATGAGCTTAAAATATTTTTAGCTTTTTCTAGTCTCATCGAGTTCTTCATGTAGCCCAAAAGATGGGATCAAAATCGATCCTACAGTTGGGAATCTTCTCTTGTTAGTCAAATAAGCAGTAAATTTAAAAAAAGATTGTTTTATATATTTTTTTGTTTCTGTACTGCACGATATTCTAATTGTTCGCACACCGTTTTGTTTTTGTGCTTTTTGATCTATTTAACAAAATCTCACATAAATGATAAGATAATATTATGGCGGGAAGCGTGGATAACTCAATAAAAAATGACAAAGCAAACGAATCGTAGCACATTTTCAAATAAGAGAGAATGCGTCGTCTAGCGGGCTGATGAACGTGGGCGTCATGTATTTATCACATTATGTCTTTTTTAGGCAGTTACAGACACTTTCTATGCATTAATATGGTTCTATCCTCTGAATTGTCAGTTTATTTGGTTTGATTCTTGTTAAGAGAGCTTCACGAATATGTTTTTTCAAAGGAAATTTGCGATGAAAATAGAGAATTTTGACAACGGTTATTAAAAACTTGGCAGATATTCGAGAAATTGAAATATCTTGCATATATTCAGCTGTCATTGTATTTTGCCAAACAAGCTTTTCTTCTTAGTATCAGAAATTAGATGTATAAAAGCAAAGTGAAAAGCTTTTTCTTTCTTAGCATCGGATGCTTCGTATCTCAAGCTCCGGAAAGCTCCCGGAGCCGCCTTTTCCCCTTTGTACAAAAACAAACTAATCGACTATTCTTGATATTTAGATTTATCATTAAATTTTAAAACAACAATACATAGAAATGTGCGTCTATGAGTGCGTCTGTTGAGGTATGCTGGGACCTTTTTCACAATCTCAATCTTTACCTTCCACATGTTGTTGTTTGAGGTAACCGTGCTATACTTTGGTCGCGCACGAGAATTAGTTGGTTTACAACAAGAAATATTTACATTCTCATCACAAACACAATATACTGTAAACAAAATACTTGAAATAATTATAGATAGAAGACCAATGTAAGTAATTGTACATATTCATATTTCATGTACGTTGAATGATTTATTCTATTCAGACTAAAACCAATCGTTCATACATTTCGTTTATCACTTGATCAAGAATATTTAATCGAAACCGACGAAATTTATTTTAAGAATAAAAGTGAAATTGCTCTTTTGCCACCGTTTGGTGGAGGTTAAACAATCATGGATTATGTTAATTTGCAATATGAAAAAATTAATATAAATGATCTATATAGTCGGGTTGTGGCGGAAAATTGTGGAGCAGTAGCATCATTCATTGGTTAGTTCGTAAATATTTAAATCATAAATCAAATTACACTATTTTTCTAGGTATAACTCGTAATAATTTTGATGGAAAATCGGTTAAAAAATTATTTTATGAATCATATGAAACAATGGCATTATCTCAATTAAAATTACTTTGCTTAAATACACGAAAAATATATCCAGATATTGAACATATTGCTATTCAACATCGTCTAGGGTTTGTATCTTATTTATTTATTTATTATTTAATCAATATGAATAATTGAATCTATAAAAATATATTGACACATCTTTACAAAATGGTATAAATTCTATCTTCTACACTATTCGAGTGCAATGGGGCATAATTGATAGGATTCATACTGTTTTTACCATCAAAAGAAAAACCGAAATGGAGTATCTAAATATAAACTAAAATGACGTATTTTCTAGACTAGTAGGATTAAAATAAAGTAAAATTATATAGAGTTAATATGTGTATTTTTCTAGTTAACTAAATAGATGAAACAAGATTAATGTCTAGCAGTAGTTTCAAAGGACAAGATGATCCTCTTTGTCAGTTTAGAAATGATATATACCTTTTTGAGTTTTAACTTAATACTTTTGCTTCGTTTGTCGTCAGAATGATTGAATCGTTAGACAAGATATTTTTGAAACAAATTAGGTTTGTCTATTCATTTTTAGTTAGTCTACTTTTTTTTTTATTGTACTACTGTCAATAATACTTTTTCATTTTTCCAAACTTTAAATTTTTACTCTTAAAAGCTTATTGAAGATCGAACGATGATAACAAAAAACAAAAAGAATTCTTTTTTTCTTCTTCTCGACTTTAATGAGATCTTTTTGTTTCGTCTATATCTTTGCTTATTAAGTATCAAAAAAAAAAAAAACTGAAATGAAAATAATGAGATCTCCTATTCCGTTTGTCCTTAACAATTCGCGAGCAGATCTTATATTTTTTCTTATATTCTCGTTATGGATAATACAGAGAGAAAGCGAGAGCTCAAGGGCTTTTCATTTAAAATTCCGATATACTGTTGCGCGAACAGAATTAAGTTACATACGTTTTATTTTGATATAAAAGATTAGTCGTCCTATATATTTCATTGAATTATTTATTTAATCTCTTTCTGAAAGAAACTTTCGGAAACATGGAAAGGCAATACCCTTAGTAGAAACTAATTTTCGTCACGATTTTCTGTTTTTTTTTTTAAGAATTTGTCTTTCGTTTCTCAGTAGAGATTAATGTTTAAATTTAGCTATACAATGATTATTTTCTAAAATGAGAAATTTTAGCTTCATTATACACGATCAACTTGAGATCTATTTGTTATGTTTAGAGAAGTTCCCATCAGTGAAATATCTGTAGCAATTTATGTATCATCGGCCCATCGTCGTGCTGCATTAGACGCTGTTTCACATTTGATTGATGAGCTCAAACAAAATGTGCCTATTTGGAAAAAAGTAAGAAGAAACCTAAGTATCATTGAGATGACAATAAAAGTGATAAAGAGAAGAGTCAATCATGTAAGTAAAAGAGAATAAAAAGAAACCGAGACAGCATCCTTTCTTCAATTTGTATTAAAAATAGAAATAAAAAGAAAAAGAGTGTTCTTTTGTGCTGTCATTGACTTTTCTCTATTGTTGTTTATTATTCAGGAATATTACAATGATGGTGATTCAGATTGGAAAGAAAATCCAACAAAATGAAAAGAAAAAGAAATCTATCAGACATGACGATATTGTTTCTCTCTAAAAAAATAAATAAAAACAGAAGAAACAAAAGGTATATAATTGATTAGTCATGTTGAGTATTTATTAAATGATTCTTTTTTTTCTCCTTAATGTCTTCATAATTATTTGTTCTTCTTCTATAAATGAACTTTGTGATATTTAAATTTTGATAATAAAAAAACAATAGATGAATAAATGAATTGAAAAAAAATAAAATATATCACTTAGACACATATGCTGCCACTTTTACTTGTTTTCAAATAGTATGAGTTTGAGTGAATGAAAAAAGTATTTGTATCGCACAAAAAAATCACAACCACAAATGAATCACTGAAACTTAGTCAATTTGTTAGGAAATACAATAAAAATTGACATACAATTTACCAGCTAAAATATGACTCATTTTGTTTTTGTTTTTGCTATTAATGAACATCCATTTACCACTTACAGGGACACTTTCGTAAATTTGTAAATATATGCAGATAAATAATGTACATAAAAAAGTGTATTCATTTCAAAATTTCTATATAAGTAAAATTTGTTTCGGAAAATGAGGGGGAGGGGGCGGGAGGAGTGGATATTCCTGATCAGTTAAGATAATATCAATCTGGAAAACATTTCCTATTGTTAAAATTTATCAAAAGATCATTTTGATACTCAAGTATTTTGTACAATGTGTTTATTTTTTATTGTTCTTATATGTAAAAAATATATAATATACGACAACAATAAAAAAATAATCATACTCTTCAGTTTTAATCGTTGTGAATGAACGGTACTCGAAGACACGGTTTTGGATGAAATTGTCCAAATATATTTAGTTCAAGCATACACATAACAACAATAACTGTAAACCAAATAACAATGAGAAAAATTCCATAGGATTTTGTTAGACGACATCGATTAATAAAAAATGTTATTAGAAATAATGCTATTGATGCAAATAAAATAATTGTTGAATATTGTAAACCTTTACTAAAAACTTCAACATAGTCTGGTCCTATAGGCGGTGTACTACGAATTAAATTTCGAAATAACCATGGTATACCTAAACCCATGAGAATATCAAATACATTGGAGCCAATCGAACCGGCAATGGCCATTTCAGGATGACCTCTTCGCGTCATTACTACAGCATTAAATATTTCTTCTGTTGATGAACCAGCTGCTAATAATGTTAAACCCATTACAGAATCGGGAATTTTCAAAGTATAACCAACAATAACAACTAACCAAACAAGAATATAAGCTAAACCGGCAACCTAAAGAAGAAAATAAGAAATTCTTAATAGATTTAGATGAGTTTACCGTATAATATGCAAATGTTTAACCCTTTCTAGCCGGATGTTGCCATATGGTTACATTTTGTTGCTATATTTTAAAAATTGCCGGCTATAAAAGGTTAAAATGATCAAATTCTTAAAGATTGTTTTCTTCATCTTTATTTGGATATGTAGACTTTTAGCTGTATAATGAGAATTTCTATATAAAAATTTTCTTTATCGTTTTTATCGTTCATTCATATGCAGTATTTTTGAAGACTTGTTAAATGATCTGACAGGTGAACGATGGATAAGAACTGTGTGTTTTTTGATTTATCAGTAAATTAATGTTTCTACAAAACTACAGAAATTGGTTTAATATACATTTGGGGGAGTATATATGATTGAAGGATAGACAGTAGAGTAGAGATTTATGTATCTGATGAAGCGTTGATATCTGTTATGAAAAAAATAAGAAAGATATCTGTCGCTAAAGAATGTAGTGTCTGTATACATTTTTGACATGAATATTAGAGTATAATTATGTTTTTGATTATAAGAAAGGTAATAAAGATTCTCAGATTGTTACTATCTTATCTCTCTTTGTATTTTTTTTTATTGTTTTTTTTTTGCAGACATAGTTATTTTTTTGGACGACGTGTATATTATATTTCTTACCCATATGGTGGACATGACAAATGTTAAATAATAATAATCTCTAAATACGGCTGTTCGACAATCTGGTATTGTTATGTGCATCAGTAATCTAACAGGATATAATAAAATCCATTTAATTAATTTATGAGTTTTCTTTGGTGCTCTAGTAGGTGAGAAGATTTCTGTTGCTTCAGCAACAATATGTTGACCATCTCGAAGACGTTTTTTACTCGGTTTATAGGAGTGAGATGTAGTATGAGTTTTTGGATCGGCATCAGCTGCGTTCAACACTGATTCACTGATTGAACGAGCTGGTGGATGATGATGATGATGATGATGATGATGATGATAATGAGGATGATGTTGATGAGTAGTGGTCGAAGCTGTTGTATGTTCATCAGTAACAACTGATGTTAGAGGAACACTTCCACCATCGGTAAGACTAGCTTTACGATCAGAATCAGTGTGATTTTGATTTTTTTTTCGATGATGTACAAAACGAGATATACGATCATTGAATTTCATTATTATTATATAAACAAAATAGAGTAAAACTAATGCCATTGCTTCATACCAGTAAATTTTTGAATCTCGAATAATTATATACAAGACTGCAACAGCTATACAATAAAAACCGGCATCTCGAACAATTGGATAGGGATCGAGTTCACAAATGGTTTTTGTTATTAGAGCACATAGAGCAATAACAAAGAGAATATTAAATACTGCTGAACCAACGATGGTACCAAGAGCAATATCACTTTTAACAAAAAATACACCAACCAATGATGTAAAAAATTCACTAGCAGATGTTGCCATTGCCATAAAAGTTGCTCCAGCTACATCCTATAGAAACAAAAAATGATATACAAACTGAAAATAATCAAGTAAAAAATTGAACCTTTTATTTATTTATTTTTAATCATTATAAAAAAAAAAAGAGTTACTTACGGGTGTTAGATTAAAATTAAAAGCAATACGTTCTAAAGCTGTTGCAAAATAATCATCACATACCTAAAAAAAGAAATAAAATATATTTAAAATTTGTCAATATAAAAGTATCAAATATAATTCATACAATTTCTAATGTGGCAAATAAATAACAAATAATGGCAATATGTAATACGATTCCTCCATGACGTTTTTGTTCATCAGTTAAAAAATCTGGTGGAAATTCATCAATTGAAACTGGTGAACATTTATTTGCCCATTCATAATCAATCATTAAACTTTTATTATTTGATTGAATTTTTATGATTGTTGTTGATGATGATATTTGAGCAGACGAAAAATAATTATGAAATATAAGTGAAAATAATATACATAAAACAATTTTACGACGTGTAAATAATAAACAAAAGAATAGAGAAGGATTTGATTTTTGAAATAATTTGTTTCTATCTGACATAAACTTCATTTTTTTTCTTCTTTTTTTGTTTTTTTTTATTGAATTTCGGATATTGATTAACAATAAAACCTAAACATAAGATTAAAACAAAAATCTAGTAGAGAATTCTTTTTGATGTTGTACGGTGTGTGTGTACGGTGTATGTATATATATTTCTGTATATGTGTCTTTAGGTTAGAATTAAACTAAGTTACTTCAACCATTCTTTATTAATTAAGAAAAGAAGAAGAAGAAAAAGACAAAAAAAAAAAAAGATCAGATAAATCTTGTAAAAGATGTTGATTTAGTTAATTTATATTCAATACCAAAAAGAGGAAAAGGGCTGTCTATTTTTGTATTAATTGCTTTTTGATTTCAAAAACGTGTTAATTTATCAGGAAGTAGAGTAAGTGGTTTTCTTTTCATGTCAACTTCAACGAAATATCAATGACCTCGAATTCAACATTTTCTATTCACTCTGTATCTCATTTTATTTCTTTTTTTTTTTTCTATCACATTTTACAACAAATTAAATAACCATTTTAAAGTTGAGTGTCTATCTATTTTTCAAGACTAAAAAAGCTAATCATCTACGTTTAGAATTAATTATTTGCATTTATTTGTTTCATTTTATTTTTTCTTCTTCTTTTAATCATCTTTGCATTTATTTTCTTTACGAATATTTTTTATTTTTTTTGTTCAATTTATCATCCGTATAAAATAAGAATTGTCTTTCGTTTTTTAAGACGATAATGTAAGTGTATGTACTTACTAAAGTTTTTTGTTGAAAATATGTTAAAAAATTAATTTTTTCTTTTTTGGTTTTAATATTGTTCAATTATATGTACAATTTAAACAAATGAAAATGTTTTACGATGGTCAAGGTTCAACGTATTCTCTTCTTTTCTTTTTCTTCTTCTTCTCTCTTCTAACAAAATAATCGTAATAGATCGCATCATAATCATCTTAGAGACTCTCTAGTCTTGCTATAATAAAAAAAAAAAAAAATTTATAATCATAACAATTTTCTTTGAGGCTTTTCTTTCTCTTCTTCTTCATTTTTTTTTTTTATTCTTCTCATATTTTTTTTTTTTCTTTTTAAAGAGCATATAATGTATGAAAAGGAAGAAGAAAAACGTTTTTCATATCTACTTTATATACTTCTCTTCCGTATATTTCCAAAAAAGAAAACATTTTCTTTTTTTTTATTCTTTTTCTATTCATTTAGTTTTTTTTATCTATACACACACACACACACATAAATAGCAGAAAACATTTTTAATGAGCGCAGGGAAAAAGAAAAGAAGAAAAACCGATGATCTTAATGGGAAACAATAGAAGAGAAAAGAAGAAGATGAGTTTGATAGATAATAAAAATGAGAAAAATGGAATGAATAGTTATACTATTTTTTAAAAATTTATAAAACAACTCTTAATTTCGTTCTATTACATAGATTTTTGTTTAGGTTTTTTTCTTTTTCTACTATTCAGGCTATAAAATGACTGGTTTACGAGTTATTTTGAAAAGAATCACAATAAAATTAGAATTAGTTATTTAGAGTTTTTTTCTTTTTAATCTTTTTTGTCGCCTTTTTTATTTTATTTTTTGTGTTTGAATTCTATAAAATAGAAGATCTATCTGTTTATATTTTAAGTGTGTTAAGAAACCTTTGCTCGAACTTTTCATTTATAATTAATAAAGGAACGCGAAAAAAAAGTAATAATAATTGTTATGATCGTATGTATATATAGGATCATTATTATAAAAGAAATTCAAACCGGAAAAAGGCAAAGTGATTTCCGAAACATAAACGGATGAATAATGATCGAAGGAAGGAAGTAGAAAATATCTACTATTATTGCTTTGATCGTTTATTTTTTGCACGATATACACCACTGATGAAAATGATATGCTTTTTCTTTTTTTTTGTTTTCCTTTCTTTTCTCTCTCTCTCTCTCTCTCTCTCTGTCTCTCTATTTCTTTTTATAGAAAACACTTTTTATTTTTAAGAGTACATACAATATCTTGAATCAAATGAGAACATATCATCTCAACCTAAGATTACTTATGACTAAAAACTCATTGTTTAGTCGAAAAAAACGAGTTTTTCTATGTCAAAGAGAATCGAAAAAACAAAAAAAAAAAAAGAGAAATTGATCAGAAAAACATAATGATACACGAAATGAAGAATTGAATCGAATCAATTTGATCATCTATTTTCAATATATGAAAAGACTAATGAAACTCTATTAAATATGAACAACAAAAATGTTCTATTATATAAAATAGGCCGAGATTTAACATTATTTATTTTCTAATCATTTAAGATTTTTTTTTCTTTCTAATTTATATCATTTTCTCTCAAAATAATTCTTTTTAAAAATAAAGAAAAAAAGCTTATAATTATCAGTCAATTAACTGATTCATTGTATTAAAGTCTTGAAGGACTGTCATCGACGTTTTATGATCAAAAATCAAAAAGATAATAACTAAAATCCAATAAGAAATGACGTTTGCTATTATCATACTATTTCAAGAGTAATGTCCCCTAGAATGGATACTCGTCGATCTTTTAAACAAAAAAAAACATTTTTTTTTTTTTTTTTTTTTGTTGTTTATAATAATATAATTGGAATATTTTTTTTGTTTGGTTAAATTTTT